CCCCAAAACCCCAAAACCCCAAAACCCCAAAACCCCAAAACCCCTTTTTGGATGTGAATAATTGACAACTATCTATTAGGAGAGAGGATCCTTGTTCTTAATGCATACTTTGCCTGTTCACAGCACATTCCTTTACCCTTCCTAAAGATAGCAGGATTCTTCTCAAGTGCTTTAACATATTTATGGTTCCCTAGAAAGTTTAGAATTTAAATACCTTCATAAGCAAGGTTAAATTGCTCATTATTCTCTACTTTCAAAGGAGAATAGACTTTTTGTTTATAGAAATGAAGCGGGTTGATTGCCTGCCGACTGTCCTTAGAGAAAGCAGATTTCTTCTTATTATTTCTTCATACCAAGATCTGGTTTGTCTGAGTATTTGTAACATAATCCTTATTTTAATAATCTAGCCCTCTTGCTTTCTTTTGGAAATTTATGACTCTTGTGAGCAATGATATTAGTTCTTTTGTACTTCTGGTTCCTATTGATGAGGTATGAAATGTTTTGATCACTATACATCACAAAATGAGCTAATACTTGATAACTCTCACAAAGCTATCTCTGTCTGCTATTTGCTTAGCTTCAGTCTTAGCACTCATCTAAAGATAAAAATGTTTTTACCAATCTTTTCAAGTTTCTTGAGCCTGTAATTTCTGGACTAAGCTCCCTAGGTTCCCCGAGTTCAATATCTACCAGACTGTTCTGGGTCCGTTTCTTCAACATGGTATTGCTAAGCTTGAGGTTCTGTCTATCATTCACATTCGGCTTAAAGCATTTCTGGAAGTTGTTAATAAATGAAATTTTATTTCATATCTGAAGAAGCTTTGACCCTGTTAGAAGAAGCTCTCTTAGAATAATTTTTGTAAATATTACTCTCTATTCTCTCCTTAGGACTAACCTTGCTTGATGTAGTATTAAAGAATGTGTTATTAGGCTGTAGATTCGTCTTGGCAGTCATTGCCATTCTGGATATCTCTGCAGTTGCAATGAGAGCATCCTCATATTCTACCTCGGTCCTTCTCATTTGTTCCCTAGGACTGGCAAACATTTTGTTACGTCGCTTTGTGACTTGAGTTTCAGCGAAGGTCTTGTTGTCGATCAAATTCAGAGTCTTTTTACTATATGAACTTAGTTAACTAATAATGTTAGACTCATCTATCCTAAAAGATGTTGAACTTGTCAAATAATCTCACAGACAGACTTAGAAGCCTCTAGAACCAAGATTAAAGTAGAAAGATTTTTATTAAATAATAGATATTCATAGAATTTTACATACTTTACTGAGTACAATGTGGCCTGTCTGAACAACTTCTTTTCTGTATATTTACTTCAGTTTTTAAGTAAAAAAAGCTTCCCTACCTCCAGCAGCAGTAAACTCTCCTAGGTTCATAACTCTTTTCATAAGACCAAAATTTAATAAAAGTTTTATATTTCCTCTGGGGTTTTGGGGTTTTGGGGTTTTGGGGTTTTGGGG